GGGGTGGCAGCGGGAGTGCCAGTGCTCCCCGAGAGGGCCTGGCTATGACCACAGGAGATGGGGCAGTTGTCAGGAAAGGACACAGTTCTGTCCATCCCACTGTCCCTCCACATGATCCTGAGGAAGCCCAGCTGTGTGGGCCACGACTGGCTGGTGGCTCATCTGCCCTGGACTGGACTGGCCAGGTCAGCAGTCCCCAGGCCCTGGCCCCGCATCACCTGGTGTCCTGGTTGGAGTCCTGGGCCAGCCGCACCAGGTTGTGCACCAGGGTGTCCGTGCTGTCCCTGGGGCCCGAGAGGAGCTTCTCGGCACCTATCTGTTCCAGGACGGCCGAGAGGTGCTCGGCAGTGCATCTCCGGACTAGGGGGTTTCTGTGGCTGAAAGAAAACACAGTGATAGTCAAGGGCCCGGTCAAGAAATGGGATGTGGGGGTCCCCAGACTGGCACACAGGGACCTCAATTGTACATCCATGCTTCATGCTCCGATGGGCCCCAAATTCTGTCCCGTGTGGGCTAAGGGGAATCTCTGAGGAAAGAGCAGACCCTTCCTGACCATGGAACTAAGGATGACAACAGCAACAGTGGGACAGGGAAGAACAATGAAGCCACTGGTGTTCCTCAGAGACACCTGTGCCCACCAGTCTCTGCGCCTTCCTGAGATCAGTCTGCCTGTGTCTAAATGCTCATTCCCATCTTTCTCCACCTAGAAAGATCCCACCCAGTCACCATCTCCTCTGCCTTCCCTACCCTCCCAGGCAAGCCTGGATGCTCCCCAGGGGGAGCACTGTCCCTGTCCCCTAGGAAGCACAGCCGCAGCCCTGTGGCCCCACAGTCAGGCAGGAGCTCCTGGGCAGTGGGCAACTAGTCTCTCTCTCAGTTGAATCCCCAGTGCCCGCTGGTGCCTGGCACATGCCAACACTTAGTGGGAGCTTACTGCACACCTGCTGAGCTGAGCTTAGACAGGAGGGAGGGACGGTGGGGGGTGATGGGGGATTCGGTTGTCCCAACAGAGGGAGCCTGAGATCTTACAAGAGAAGCCCATCAGGATGCCAGCTCTTTCTATTTCACCTTTTCAAGCTGGGTCTATGTGCCCACAGGCCATTAGGCAGCACGAGCCCCCCCCCCCTT